ATTTTGGTTCAGCAAATATTGCTATTCTATAACATTTTCCATTGTTTGTGTAAAGAACTATTCTGTCAATGTATTTGTATTGTTTGTGTGTGTAAACTTTGTTCTGCTTCAATTCGAAGAGATACTCGAATACGTCCATCTTTTTATTCTAAGTAAAATGTCATTTCCGAAAAATAGAAGCGTGAGTGTTTCAAAAGGTTTAATGGCGGTGGCAGATGTGAAGTTAAATTCACCAACTCAAACAAACAGTCAAAGTGTTGTTGTCAATGTCAAAGAAAAGAGATGTTGAAGTGGGGAAACCATACGAAGACGAAGATGGTATAACAAAGTTCCTGTAAAAGAACAACCAACATATCCTGAAGTTAGCAGAGACTTAAGTTCTGTTGCAGATATTCGAAACGACTACCAACAACTGAAAGACAAACTTAAAACTCAGGAGAAGATTTGTCAAGCTTTAGGTATAATGTTAAACTTGGTCGAACACAACCCTGTAAAAGTGAACTCATATGTCATTGCACCTCGTGAAGTTTTGAAAGAACTATTGAAACTTTTGACAGAGGCAGACGATATAAACATCAAAGAAATAGAACCCGACATTGCTTGCTGTGGTGTTTCATATAATGTCATTGACAAGATATACGTTATGAAAGGAGGTGAAACGTTGAACTTAAAATATAGTTTCCCAGACGTCATAAAAATATTTGACGACCACAACATTTCATTAAAATTTATTTGCTAAGTAAATGGCAGAAGATATAATGGTTTATACTATTACGACTAAAAACCCTGAGTCATATAATTCTATAACAACAAACTTACAAAGTCCTCAAGGACGATATTGTAAACTAACCTTAAACACAATGACGACTAAAGCTTGTTTTGCTCTTTTGACACCAGAAGATTTTATTGTTGTGAATGGTAAAAAATACTCCTTTGAAGATACTTACTCAGATATACCACCAACAGGTTTTGTTGACTTATTTAATACTTTAAGGACGGATGTAACATGTGCTGCAACTAGAGCAGGTTTCATTATGTTTGGATGTCCGACTGAGTTTAGTATAAACGATATGAGCTATAATACAAACTTATATCTGGTTTTTACTACCAACAGTTTCCTATAACAGGAAAAGGTGTCATACAAGGTTTGTCTATTCCATTGACATTAAGCACACCAATCTTATTATATTGTTTCAAACTTAGGTTCAAAGTGTTATTCGAATGTCGACAGAAACTATTATGACCAAAAAGATACTTATGCGTATAAACAATACTTTCTCTGCTGGTTTGCCTATTGTTCATTCGAATGCAGAATTTCAGCTTTAGTGAACTCAAACACTTTGCAAATAACTTAACCTTAGTTGACGCAAACTTTGTTCCTGTAAAACTTTTATGTCCTATGTATTTGTCAATGACGGCAGAAAGTTTCGAATTGGAAGATGCAACTGGTGAAAGTATTGTATTACAAGAACAACTTCAACAACAAATAGCTCAAGAACAACAAATGGAACAACAAAGTCAAGAATAAAAAAAATATTTTTTTTTATTTTTATAAAAATGTACAGAATAGATGTTTCAGATTTTTATGACTTCCAAGCATTCAGAAATATGTGTCCATTTCGAGACTATAACAAAGCAGTCGAGAATTTGAAACGTTTAGTCATTTATGTTGACTCTGCCCCAGAATGTTATGTCATGAAAGAATGGGATGTTGTCTTTAACAAACCAAGAGCAACAATAGTTCAGAACAAGAATGTAGACAGAAACTTAAGAAAATAAAAGTCGTACAAGTTGGAATGAAGATGTTAGATGCTTGGGATATCTTATTGTCAAAGTTAGAAGATTTTTCAGTTCGTGGTATAAAGTTCTATACACCTTCTCCAAACTTCTATTCTATCTTCACTGGATATAAATACGAACAAGTAGAATGGAAAGAAAATGTTATAGAAGCTTGGTTAGACCATGTCAAAGAAATTATATGCAATGGAAACGAAAGAGTCTATGAGTATATCTTATGTTGGTTTGCAAACATCTTACAACATCCAAGTGCTAAAAATGAAACTGCTCTCATCATAATTGGAAAACAAGGAACTGGTAAGAACACTTTCTTTACAGATATCTTATGCAAACTGTTAGAGGGCTATTCGAATCCGAATATGACAAACTTAGAAAACATCTGCGGTAAATTTAACTCTTCAATAGAGAATATGAAACTTATAGTATGTAACGAACTTCAAAGTATAGATACAACAAAGGTTTTAAACTCAGATGCTTTGAAGAGTCTTATAACAGACAAAGTTGGAGTTGTTGAAAGAAAAATATAAAGACCAAAGAGTTTGTGAAAATGTTGCAAATTTCATCATGGTTTCAAACAATGTTGTTCCGATGAAGTTAGAAAGTTCTGACAGAAGATATGTAGTTGTCAGAACGTCAGATTCTCATATGCAAGATACAGAATATTTTGACGACTTAGCAGAAACTTTGACATCTGACTTTTACAACCACTTGTTCTCATATTTCATGACATTAGATATTTCAAAGTTCAATCCAAGACAAATTCCACATACCGAAGAAAGACAAACATTGTTAGAAGCAAACAAGAGTGTATATGAACTGTTTATAGATGAGACTAACTTTGAGTGTTTAGATGAAAGGTCTTTATATGATGAATATAAACAATATTGTCAAGAATATGGTTATATGGCAGCGTCTAAACGAACATTCTTGGCAAATGTCAAAAATCTTTTAGACATACAGAACGGCGTATATACAAAGAAAAATTTTTCTGAGTAAATTTAAAAAAAAATTTTTTTTATCCGATAGAAAAGATGGCAAAATTCATCTCAGTAAATAAGTACATGACAGAAGTCAAAGATAAGTAGCCATTCGCATATTTGAATGTTTACTTCTACATTTTGAAAAGTCTACATTTGACAAAGTTTGGAACATCGAACCAGTTAAGTTTGCTATTGTTAGAAAAATGGTGCAAATTTGAAGACTTAGACATAGAAGGTTTGTTAGCAGTCAAAGAAAATTTTGACAGAAGTTCTCAAAACTCGAAAAGGCAAAGCATACAAACTTGTTATACCTTATGAACCAAAGAAAGCAGACGACTATGAATATTATGAGTCTAAGATAGTTGAAGTTCAAGGTAAATTGGGTAAAAAGATTTTAGAGTCTAAGCCAGTGTTTGCCCTAAAGAGGAAGAGAACATTGACATTGACCCAGAAATGTTCTAAAAATAAAATTTTATTTTTACATGTCATTTCTCTTCTCTGGAACTGGTTCAGGTTCTTTCTTCTCTTCTACTTTCTTTTCTTTCTTTCTCTCTTCTTCTTCTTTTCTGGTGGAGTTATGTCAAATTTCTCAGAACCATATTTATGTAAAAGTTCTTTGTCCTTTAATAGCTCTTCTATTCTGTTTTCTATTTCATCTTCAAGAACAGCGCATGTGCCTTCTTTGCATTCTAAGAACTTTTGTTGGACTTCATCTTTCCAATCGGCGTCATCTCTGTCAACAAGTCTGTCATTGACAAATTTTAAGACTGCTCTTTGTAATGTTTTATGGTTCTTGTCATATTCCCAGAAACAGAACTTTAGAACAAATTCACCTTTCTTGTTTACACTATGTAAGATTTTATGGTCGACAGATGTTTTGCTGTCGAAAAGCTTGTCTCGAATATAGATAGCGAAATCGCTAGACATTTTCTAAAAGATAAAAATTTTAATTTTTCTAAAAATATGTTAGAAAAAAAGTTTGCTGACATTGACAAGAAATTTGAGAATGTTTTAAACAAGAACAAGAGGAAGTTAGAAAATGCTCAGATAAAACCCATACATGACAAGTTCTTATTTGCTCAGAATGGTATAACAGGTCTAATCGCACCACCTGGGTCGGGTAAGACTTTCACTTATCTTAAAATGGCTGCACAACAACAAGAACTAGATGAGAAGAACCCATTCTATGAGTTAGTAGTCATTTGTAGTACTTCTGGTCAATTTGACCAAACCGTAAATTCGTTCAAAGATATTATAAAAAAGTCTAAGTTAGTATGTATAAAAGACTCTGAGTTGTTGGATTGGATAAAGAAGTACCAAAGAAGAGTTTTGAAGTACAATGCTATAAATGAGTATGTCAATTCTAAGTTTAAAGACCCAAATGAGGAAATGCAGAGAATATTAGAGAAGAAACACTTCAGAAACAAACAGAAAGAGATAGAATACATTTCGAAGAAATTGCAATCTTACGATTGGAAGACTTACCCTCACAGATGTCTTCTTATCTTAGATGACTTTGCTTCTCATCCTTTGTTAAAGAACAGAGAACAAGATATGTGTCGAATTCTTAAGAAGCTCAGACACTTTAACATCTCAGTTGTCATTTGTGTACAGACAGCAAAGAGTTTAAGTAAGGATGTAAAGAGAATACTTACTGATATCATACTTTTCCCTGGATTGTCCGAAGACGATTTCATGGAACTTATGAAAGAGTCCATGGCAGGTAAGTTTGACAGACATGAACTATGGGAGAAGTACAAAGTCATACAAGACCCTCATACTTCTTTCAGAATTCATATCTACGCGAACAAAGTTCAAATTGTAAAAAGTCAAGCTTGAAAAATAAAGAGTTCATCTACTCTACTTGTTTGAAGTTGTCAAAATACTCTGTTATTTTTCACGATTTTCATAGAGTTTTGGCTACCCCTGTAAAAGTCGGTCTAGAGAAATTTCATGAAATTTGGTCATTTTTTTCAGCAAAAATATATTTTAGGGTAGAAGGGTATATCTACCCCGTTTTCTACCCTCATTTCTACCCCAGTTATTTTATAAACGTTTTACATGGTAAACGTTATTTTTTAAATTTTGTGAAAACTCAACGGTTTGACACAAGCCCTAAAATATATTTTACTCAGAATTTTACTCAGAATTCAATAAAAATATATTTTATGGTAGAAGGGTATATCTACCCCGTTTTCTACCCTCATTTCTACCCCAGTTATTTTATAAGCGTTTTACATGGTAAACATTGTGAATTCGTGAAATTCTAAACAATTTCGTAGCTTCTATTTCTTCTGTCAGTACATCGAATGTTTTAACAATGCCGAAGGTTTCTTTATACTTCTTCTTGACATCTGAAAGAAGGAAATCGTCAGCTGTTGGATAGTTTTTGTTTAGAAATGTCAACATGTCCATTTTATCTTCTGCTGGTTTCTCTGCCTCCCTCTTTAAGTCAGCATAGTCGTTTCGCATACGTTCTATCTCTTTGACGGAGTAGTTATATTTCCTCATTGCTGCTTTACATTTAGAACATTGTGGGTTCATTTTTGCGTTATATTCTGAAACCTTACCTGCTAGTATGACTAAGGCGTCAATTGCTCTCTTTAACTCAAAAGTTGCGGGTTTTATCTGTTCATTCCATATCTTACCTCTTCTATCTTTATCTCTTATCTGCCATACACATTTTGCAACTAACGAAACAAAGTTGTCGTAGGTCTTAAACTCCCCAGATTTGTATATGTCAGAGATGTTCTTATATACCATGTCGCAATCTTTGTCCATGACTTTGTGGTTGCAATGAAATCCAAGGAATTCATAGTTAACCTTTCGTATGAACTTCTTTATTTCTACTGAGTCAGTTGCTTTGACTTCTATTTCATCGAATTCTGGAATAGTAAGCTTTTGTTGTTGGATTTCAGGCAATTTGGGTAAATGGTCAATAATATCCTGCATTTCATAAAGATACTGTTCATTTGTTTCATCTTTCGCACTACAGTCTAAAGTACTTGTTAAAAGTTCTTGCTTTATCTTCTGGATTTCTTTTTCGAAAGTATATGAAGAAGGAATGAAGCTTTTCATCTCTACTAACATTGAAGTTGGGTTCATGACTAACGAGTTTGGTGCTGTTGTTGCTAACATGTTCTTACAATAAAAATAAAAAATATTTTTTTAAAAAAACCAACTTTATTTTTTATTTCGGGAAAACTCATGACAAATTCAAGAGGGTAGAAAAGAGGTTAGAAAAGAGGTTATATCTAACCTTCTACCCTAAAATATATTTTTGCCGAATTCTGTATAAAACTCATGACAAATTCAAGAGGGTAGAAAAGAGGTTAGAAAAGAGGTTATATCTAACCTTCTACCCTAAAATATATTTTTTGGTGTAAAATTCAAATTGTAAAAAGTCAAGCTTGAAAAATCTAAGTGTTTAGTCTTAGTAAGATGGTAGCTTCTTAAAGAGAAGTACAATGAATTCAATTACGAGTACAATTGCAATGACAACTAAGGCAACTATTTTTGTCTTTTGCCAGCAAGGGTACTTCTTCTCTTCCAATGGTTCGGCAGAACTATACTCACTCATGAGAAATGCCAAAACGGTTTAATAGAAAAAGTGTTATTTTTTCATGTCCGAAGACTCGAAGGTGCAACACTTCCAAAATACCGACGAACTCAGAAGAGCAGCATGGCAGTATGTTCTTGACAACTTCTTTGAGTTCTCCAGGTACACCTTGGAAAATGCTGAAGAACTCCGACACAGAGAATTTGGAGAAATTGCACTCCAATACTACCTTGACAAACAAAGGGTAAACAAAGGGTAAACAAAGGGTAAAATAAGACTAAAAACTTAACGTTTAAAAAGTGACATTTTTATGAGCTCCGAGTCACCGAGAAAACTTGGTCAGATGTTAGCAGCTTACTTCCCTGAGGAGGATGGAAGCGTTACATACGTAAGGTTCAAAAACAACGAACCTGGAATTGCGTACCAAATTCGCAATTACATGACCATGGAAGAGTACGAAAGGTTTCTACAAGAGAAACCAGCTCTAAACAACTCAGAAAAGAAAGAGTAAAAAGTTTAACTCGTAATTGTTTATTTTTTTTACTTGTATGGGCAAGCTGCAAGAATGAAGTCGACTATCTCAGTCTTTGTCTTGACCAGTTGGACTGCTCTTGCGAGTACGTCTGTTTTGCGGTCTCCAGCTGGTGTCTGACCTTCGTAATTGCGCATGTTCTTGAGAGCTCCAACTGTAAATGGCTGTAGGATGAAGAGTCTCTCAGACTGCTTGAGGTAGTCTTCACGGTCACGAACCGAATCTGTGGTACGAGTCGAATCGGTCGATTTGAGGGAAGAGACTGAAAGCCTGTCGTCTTCCATAGGGGCTGTGGCATAATCTTTGCGTAAGCGGTTCAGACCTTCTTCGAACTCTTGGTCTCTCTTCGATTGAGATTGGAATTGGAATTGCTGGGGTGGAGCTTGCTGGAACATCCAAGGGTTGGGGAAGTAAGGCATAGGCTGAGGAGGGTAGTTCGGGAAGCCTTGTGGTGGGTAGTAACATTGAGGTGGAAATTGGTAGTAAATCGGAGGTACTTGCTGGAACTGAGGTTGCTGAGGAGACTGTTGTGGTTCTGCAGCTTTCGGTTCTTCTGGTTTGGGAATGGGCTCGGTTGGTGGTACGTCGGACATCTGTTTGTGGCTTAACCGTCGGACCACAACGATAAAAATCTCTGCTCCTAGCAGTACTGCTACTGACAGTAGCAGTACTTTTACTGACAGTAGCAGTACTTTTTCTGACAGTAGCAGTACTTTTACTGACAGTAGCAGTACTTTTTCTGACAGTAGCAGTACTTTTACTGACAGTAGCAGTACTTTTACTGACAGTAGCAGTACTTTTTCTGACAGTAGCAGTACTTTTACTGACAGTAGCAGTACTTTATCGTCGAAAACCCTCTCAAATTTTCCTTTTTACTGCTCCTAGCAGTACTGCTACTGACAGTAGCAGTACTTTTACTGACAGTAGCAGTACTTTTTCTGACAGTAGCAGTACTTTTACTGACAGTAGCAGTACTTTTTCTGACAGTAGCAGTACTTTTACTGACAGTAGCAATGGTCGAGGTCGAACCTACCGACGAGGCAATTTACCTAATTGAAATTAACGAGCTTGTTAAAGACTTCCTCAGGCAGAATGTAAAAGGCAAGCTTGTTAACTGTTGGATAACGGGAAGGGCTGCCTTGAATCTCGAGACTTCGACTGGAATTCCAATTCAAATACCAGACGGGACAGCCTACGACGACATAAAGCAAGCAAAGAAAGAAGCTCTTCTCAAGTTCTTTGCCAAGCGTCCTTGGATACAACTTCCAAACAGAGAGAACCCTTTCCCAAGAATGAGCCAAATTCTCAAGGGTCTCCTTCACTTCTCGGGTCAGCCGTTCTACATAACCTGTGAAGGCGACATCCAACCAGTTCAGTAAACCTTAACGTTTAACTTCACTTTTTTTATGTTTTAACTTCACTTTTTTTATGTTTTTACTCACACTCGTACTCAACAGGTTTGTGTACAACTATTTCAACTGTGAACCTTGTATTGACCGGTCTTCCTGCAAATGCAAGTTCGGTCAATACACAATTTATGGTGGCAAGAAGGACAGTGGGGAATGTTATTCTGACATCTGTTGTTGCGCTCGAGAGAGATTTGAAATTTCAGAGCCACCTCCCCCAAGAACTCCAACACCAACACTCAAGTTGCCAAAGACTCATGTGAAGAAGAAGCCTTCTGGTAAGTTTCTTATAGCCATATACATGGCACGCTTTGAGTAAAAACATTTTTTTCATTTTTTGAATGAAGCAAGTTAAATTCGTCCCACACCAATCTCAATGGACCGATGAAGAGTTTCAAGCCATGGTTGAAGACGTTGAGAACGACATAGACGGCGAACTTGAAGGAGCTCAAATCACAATTGCAACCAAAATTGCAGGAGTCAAGGAACAGATAGCTCCACTTAAAGCTACCAAAGCTACTCTTGACCTCATGGATAGTTACCGTTTAGATGTCAAGAGTGGAATAAGACATTTAAAATTAAAACTTCTAAACTACGAAGCTATACTCCAAAAGTTAGCAGAAATGAGAAGACTTTACCAGAGCTACTTACATGTAAGGGACTTACCTTCAAGCAATCCGACCAAAGATGAATTTTCTGACATTGTCCCAATTTTGTCCGAAAGTCAGCTCAGATGTTTCGAACTGCTCCCAACATATCCAGAATATGAACGTTTGCCTGAACTCTTCCGCAATCTCAAAAAACGTTTTTTGGTTCTCATGTTCCAAACTTTTATCGGAAGAGACAACAAACGTTCAGAAGAAGAACAAGATATTATTTTAAACTTGTTGTATGACTTAACCGTCATAACAAGCTTTTTGAAGTAAAACCGTCATTCTCAAACCACTTCATTTTTTCGATGTCCGAACAAGCACCGAAGCCGAACACAATGGCAGATGTCCTTTCAATGTTGCCAGACAAGCGCCCAGTTCAAATTCAAATTTTGAATTTGAAAGCTCATCTGACAAACACCGTTAAGACTCTCCAAAGTAGTCTTATGGAAGAGATGACCAAGCTCAAAGCCGATGTCCTCATGAACCAAGCTTCCAATGAGAAATGCCTGAATGATTTGACGGAAACCTTGCGCATTTACGCGAGAGAGAACCGAGACCTTGCCAGACTCATCTACCGTTTCTTCGAAGAGATAGACGCCATCTGGAAGGTACTCGGAAAGGACAGAACCTCCAACACCGTAATTCGTGAGTACCAAATTGAAGAAGGAATTTTCGAGGAAGAAGAGAAACACGAAGAAGAAGAGGAAGAAGAGAAACACAAAGAAGAGGAAGTTTGGGCAACCCTTGTTGCCGATGACACTTACGAAATTTCCCAACCCTACCCATATCAAATCCGCAACAAGGAGACAGGCAAGGTTCTTACCCCAGTCCTCAACAACTTGGGACACTTGAACCTTACCCTTCGGAATCGCGGTTCAATTTCCATGGGCAAGCTTGTCGCAATTCAATGGGTTCCAAATCCAGGCAAGAAGACGAAGGTCAGACACATTGACGGTGACAAGCTCAACAACCGTAAGGAGAACCTCGAGTGGTTCTAAGAGTAAAAAAATTTTATTTTAGGGGGAAACCCCAGTAAATTTAGGTGTTTATTTAGTTAAGTAGCTTAAATTAATGAGAATTTGGACAAGTAGTTCCTGACCCTGAATTGGACTCTTTCGTCATCCCAGTTGCGTAGGAGGTCGTCCCAGAGGAGTTGGTAGAATTGCCAATCCAAGGACGATTTGTCCTCCCAGGCATTGAGGATGTACTGCTCGTAGAGTTTCATGACCTCTGCCTTGCACCAGACACCCTCTCCCTTGGAACGTAAGGCTTCTTCGAAGTGCTCGAATGCGATTGGCTGCGTGACCATCTGAAATGACACTTTTTGTCCGTTTGGTCAATGTTTGTGTCTCGTGCCATAGTCGACGAAAATACAGACAAACAGGTTATATATGAGTTTGAGACCAAGAATGGTGTAACTCGACCTGTCCGATTCAAATTCGAATAAAAATTTTTTATTTCATGCAATGTTTAACTATTTCACCATCTTCTTTAACACCCCAGTACTTCCTTTTCGATATTACATGAACTTCGGTGAAAATTTTGTCCAATTTGAATTGACCCATCTTTTCACCGACCATGCCCATTTCAATGAGTTTGTTATAGCCTTCTTCGTTCGTCATGAGTGCGTC